TGAAAACACTGAACAAAGATTACAATTATTGATGGTGTAAAAAGAATTCGACACATGCCAAAAGACGGATTATTGTTCTTGACTAGAAAAAAAGTTTAAGTTCCACTTTGCACAATGATAGGCTGTCAATTCTTTTAAGTAATTCCAAATTCCTGAATTCTGTTACTACTTACCATAGCTTTAGATGAATCACGACAGTCTTTTTTTATAACTGGTTGATTATTTTGTCATTCTTTTTCTATTTCTATAACACTTATGAATTCCTTATGAAGTGAAACGAATTCTAGACGTCAAATTTGAGACAGAATATAGCCTTACCGGAAGCGTGGGAATCCTTCCTTGATTTCATACTAATGATGCTACATACTTGGGGTAGCGCTGCGTCTGCGTTACGTATGTCGTCTCGAAAACTTGCTGAATGAACGCACATAGCTATATTCATTTTATGTTTACGGCGATTTGATGTATTAAAATGCTGTGGAAACTGCGAAGCTTTTCCTTCTGCTCTGCCAATTTGATGTGAAATACAGGGAAATTTCAACAAAAGTGGAATACTAATTTGTCTTGAAACCTATATTATAATACACTCACCTACGAGAACATAAAAATCTAAAACCACTTTCCGTGCATACAATTACTGTAGAGTTTTCGTGAAGCAAGAATATGAAATTGAGCCGTAAACAGAGGATCTGGAATAAAACCCATTCGATTTATTTTGAAAATTCTTCCACTTTGTCTCCTGTTCGTGCAATAGAAACAAACAAACTGTTATATCACATGTACATTTAATATGAAACAGTGATTAACAAAATTTCTAACACTACGGATTGATAGTAAATGAGCTTGATTAGTTATAAAGTAGGTAAATTTATGCAATATCTGGTGACTTTATACTAGTCTGCTAATCATTGAGTGCCTTTGTCATTTACACTAGAAGTGAAGACAAAGACATCAGAGGCAAATCGTCTTTACAACTCTTGAACCTTTTGCAATCTGATATGAAAATTTCAGGAATTCTGCAGCAACCTTATTATGTGGTCTGGATCTCCTGGAAGGCATTTCGTCTAGAGGAATTATTTCTTTTTAATTCTTATGCATAAAGTTCCATGAATCAAACAATTTCCTGATAAATAAGCTAGAATTTTTTCACTTTTTCGTTTTTTGGATCAGATTTCTCTCAAGTAACAGCAAATTTTACAATTAACTGTTCAAATTAGAATAGCTGATTAACACGCCACAAATATACTTTACTCAAGTAACAGGTGAATGAATCTTTTGATCAACAAAAAGGACATTGGAAAACAGTTAACATACCATGTCTGAGCTTGACACAAGCAAATACTAGCGGAGATGAACTAAATGGCTATCCGTAACTCGTTCACATTGGTACATAGGGGTTTGATCACAGTTCACTTTGTCCTATGATTCGTTCGCTGCCGAGGTATTCTCAAGGTAAAAACAATTAGCGAATAAACTAAAACTGCACAAAAGTACTTTCACTTTTACTCCATCCTCCCTCTTCAATGTCAAATGTATATAGTATGATTTACGTGAATAATGTTTCTTGAGAACTGCCTATGCATCTTTTATAAGATCTTGTGTTTAGACTACGGTAGTATATGTGATCTTTGCCAGTTTTCGTAAAATCTGACAGTTTCGATAGCGTAAACAGTCTAGACAAGTTTTGCTGATCATCGATGCCTAAAATTTGCGATAAAAGATGGATTTACTTAATACCATATAATGGACTGGCCTTATA